CTTTTGGGGAGGAGGGGTAGATAGTGACTAGAAAGGAGCACTAAGAGGGGTTTGTGGAATTTAACTATCAAGATGGTAGTTACACACATGTTGATGATCATTCATTGAGTTGTACATTTATGTTTCCATGTTTTAACATTTATAAATACTTGTGTTATACTTTGTAATAACATAATTTTTAAAATATTAATATTGTTATATATCAACCAATTGGGAATTAAATAGGAACAGAAAGCCACCGCCCATCAAAAAATAGCTTTTTGAAGTCATGTGTCCTATTTGTATTTCATTTTTCCTGAAGCATATGTACAATTTACTATCGAAAACTAGAAAAATCCTAGGTTTAATTCCAGGGTTGTGCTAATTTACACAGTACATTTGTGTCCCATATTTTACACAAGCATTTAATAGAGTCTATGGTTTTTAGATTTATTTCTACTGCTTATAGATTAACTACTTGTAATTGATCTATTCTTATCATCTTTCTTGTTATATTCTTTGTTGGGAGGCTGAGAAACAAGTAAACATTAAAGTGTTCTGAATTTCCCTCATTATCTTTCATTTTTTCACTGACTTCAAGTTTATGCTTCGAACTAACCATTTTCAAACAACTCATTTATTCCCAGTTGAAAATATAATTTCAAATTATACAGGGTAAGTGAAAGATGACATGAAAAATAACAAAATGCAAAATTTTAGCAGTTTTCTAATATCAGGATTGATTGCAATAGGAAGGAGAATAATCATCACATTCTTAGACAAACTTTCATGCTTATTAAATACTGTAACAAAAATAGGTTGAACTTATTTGCTGGCATCAAAAGTTTTTTGTATAATCAAAGCATCACCACCACCATTAGCACAAAGCTGAAAAGCCGGCTCTATCTTTGGACTCTCTAGTAATCACATTCCAATCACTGAATCTGGCAGACTGGAACCTATCATTGCAGGTCTGCGATATAAGCATAATCTCTTCTGGCTACTGTAAAGACCTGTTCACTTTTACCTGGATGCAGCACTAACACAACCAGATTCCTAACAACACTGCCTTATACACAATTGGGTCATATCATAGACTAGGATTCTGCTGATGTTTCTCATATATTGGGGTGACAAAACTTTTTGTGAGTACTAAAATTCAAACATTTCCCTAAAAATCTTTTTTGTTAAATTGTTGCTTGCTCCAGAAATATGAGACCTAAATTATTGCATGTCTTCACAGACCCATACTCCAATTTACAGTTTAAACCTCCAAGTTCCCAACAGAGAACCTGATACTTCCTCACATCCTCCTTTATCTTATTCCTCTTTGGAAACTGAATTCTGAAGAATTCTCAGGCACCTATAAGAACATCTTTGAAATATTTTCTTTGAAATCCTTTCAAGTAAAATAAATATGCTTAATAAATATTCTCAGAAATTTTCTTTGAAGTTCTCAGCATAGTAATCTCATATAGCCTCACTATGCAGAATACCAAAGCCCAAATCAAGTGGGATGGTGTTTTATAACATGGTTTCAGTCTCAACATATGATTGGGTACTTGATTATCAAGGCACCTGAACTGACTGTGGATTAGGAATAAAGACAGATGATTGTCCTGAAGTTACTGAAAAAAAGTGAAATCTAGGAAATTCTACTGTTTAGAGACCACCAGGGTGCCAAATATTTGTCCCTGATAAAATAGACCTTAGGTCTAAATTTCAATAAAGGTACTCAGATGGTTGGAGGAGGAAAGATAGTAGGTGGCATCCAAAAATAGGGGCTGACACATCAGAGGGAGAATCTAGGCCACCTGACTTATTTCCAAGTTTCATTAAATAAAGAGGCAGAAGCTTCTCAGGATCAATAGCCCTTGATCCTAGCTGGATATTAAATCACCTGGGATACTTTAAAAAAAATACCAATGTTTAAGTAAGTACCCAATATTAATTAAAGTCTTTGAGGGTGGAGTGCAGCATAAATATTTTTTAAAAATGTTATTTATTTATTTATTTGAGAGAGAGAGAGAGAGGGAGGGGCAAAGGAGGAGGGGGAGGGAGAGGGAGAGAATCTCAGGCAGATTCCACGCTGAGTGCAGTGCCCAATGTGGGGCTCCATCTCCTGACTCTGAGATCATGACCTGAGCTGAAACCAAGAGTCAGACACTTAACTGACTGAGTCACCCAGGCGCCCTGGACCACACTTTAAATAGCAAAGTTTCTAGAACAATGGATCTCAAGCTTGGCTGCATATTAGAATTACCCGGTGGTCCTTTTAAAAAAATACCTACATTTAGGCCCTGCCCCCAGAGATTCTGATTGGTATGGGGCTTGGCCATCACTATGTTCTTAAAACTCTTAGATGTGTCAATGTTGAGAACCACTGTTCTGAAAAACTGACACACTGCATCCAGCTATGAGGAAAAAAAAAAGATGTCAGAAGCAGAGGGAACAAGTTTATTTATGTTTGTTTACTAAGTATTTGTCAGGTGATGTGAACATATTTTCTCAAACACTAGAAGATAATGAAAATTCAAAGTAACCATTAAGGTTTAGTCCAACATATGTAATCCATTCTCAGAATCTAAGAGGGAATCTGGACTAACTATAAGCAGATGAAGGATTGAATGAGCAAAATCTACCTAAATGTCTCTTTACTACATTCCCAGACTCCACCTCATGAAAAAAGAAATTCTGAAAATATCGAGGACACTTTTACACCTCCACTCTCTATCCACTGACACAGAGACGACCATCCTTGTATCACGCAGGCGAAGATACACAAGAGTATTTTCTTTACACAGTCCTGACAATAGTCATTCTACCTCTGGCAGAAGTACATGGTATTTGAGTAAGCTTAATGCCCTAACTGTACTTATTGTGATTGAAACAAGGAGCATACTGATGGTAGTGCCTCTCTATGAAAAATAATTGGGAAACTGTAAAATACTACAAATCAGTGGAGAATCAAAATAATCTCAATGGCCCAAAGGAAGATCATACCTCTGAAAATTATCTACTTCAGGAATGAAAGGAAATGCCCAGAAATAGCTGGGAATCATCAATAGACTATAAAAACAGAGACTCTATCAAGCAGAATAAGAAAAACTAATTAGGAAAGAACAGGAAGAAATATAAAGAAAATAGTATGAGATAAGAAAGAACTTTAAGAAAATTAAAAATGCAACCACAAAATCAAAACTAATAATAGAAATAGTAAAATGCAGAACTGATATTGCAGAGAATCAAATGGATAATATGAGAAACTAACTTCAAACTACAAAGGAAAAAGACAAAGAACAGATATCACTATTCCAACATGCAGATAATTAATATTCACAAAGAAGATAACAAAGTAAGTGGAACAGAATCAGATAAAACAGGAAAATGTGCTGTAAGCAGAAAAATATCAGTGTATGCACATTGGAAAGGCTTTTTAAGACACCCACCAGTAGGCCCATCTTAGCAATTTTCTTAATTAAAGGGACCCAGAAAAATGTCTACAAGCTTTCAGGCTTAAAAGATATAACCTTAAAAATGAAAAAAAAAATAGAGACTACAGACTTCTCTGCAACACTTACTGAAAACAGATATTGAATAAAGCAATATATATAGAATATTAAAAGTAAAATTGTTACCCCAAACTTGCTATGCCGCTAATTTCATATCTGAATATATGGGAATGACTAAAGGGGTACTGTGGGTTTGTGGGAGGTCAGGGACTGTTTAAAATGACAGAGACTCAATCATGGTTAAGAAATGGTGAGAATAATCCAGTTGAGAGGAAGAAGCCAACTAGATTATAAATTGGGTACATTTCCAAATGGGAGGGAACAGGAAATAAACATAATTGAAAAGAAAAACTCCCTTATTGCATCAAGAGAAAGTTGCAAATGTAGGCACATAGGTATGTTTAATAGGAGAGAAGGTGAATGAGTTCATTCTGATGAGCTACTTTCCCTGCAAAGTAGAAAGCATCTGCTAAATGATGGTGAAAAAAGGGATGGTAGAGAATGATGAAAAAGTTTGAAAAACAGTTAATTTAAAGATCAAAGAAATGTAGTAGAACTCAATAGGTGCTGTTGAAGGTCAATTATATCATGAATTTAAATAGTTACAACCTGCCCTGTTGAATGATTGATTACATACAGCACAGCGTGCCCATTGGGGCCACATAGAAAAAGTAGGAACACAGAGGGAGCCCAACATAAGTATGGTTAAGTGGGAGTAAAGGTATGAATAAAATTAAAACAGGGACCCTATGATATTTAGAATATTAGCAGAAGTATTACTAAAATGATAGGCTATGAAATCAGAGTAGGCTAAGAAAACAATGAAAGAAAGATGATAGCATGGACAGAAAGAAGTAGAGCAGGCAAGCAGGAGAGATGCGTGGTCAGAAAGCAAAGCGAATTCACTTACCTCAGAGGCAGACTAATTACGTAGGAGTAGGTGAGCTAGGTGCAATGAAGGAGAGGGTCATAGGAGATGGGAGTGTCAAGAAACTGAAAGCCAGGTTCTTGGTTATGTCATGGACACAGGCTTTCACAGCACTCATAAATTGTTAACAACTACCATATCGCTATATTTTGATATTCTGTATCTACTTCCAGAGGAAGAACATTCAAAATAGTAGAATGTCCACATCCTAAGAGGGAAATTTGGCCAGCATCAGCAATAGTATGTGGGAACTTAATAAAGGCATTCCCCCCCACGCCAGGGTTTTAGAGAAATGACTATTATTTGTATACATTATCAATAGTTTATACAACTAAGTTTTACAATTTATGTGTATTTCCTCAATCACAAATCTAAGCCAATTCTCACCTTCACAAAGCACAACTCAAGAAAAATAAACAAGGTTCTTCTCTCTCACTTCTCCCCCATCAGACCAACCAGCGTCTCTTATAAAGTATAAACAATTTTATGAGTATGAGGTATGACTGCTAATTACGGATTTAAGCAAGTATAATATTATTACCATTGTAAATTTAATAAAAAACAAGAAGAAAGATTCTTACCAAAGGAAGGTGACTCCCTCCCATCCTCTAATCCTGAATCTCTCTCTCTGTCTCTCTTTCTGTGTTTATGACCACGATGCCTGTGACGTCGATGGCTTTTTCTTCCTCCCAGGGGCACATGAACTCCAATAAATAGTGTCCGATGACCTTCATCAGAAGCAAATGCATAAATTAACCTCTGAAATATTCCAAAGCACAGAAGATGATGATTTACGTATCAATGGAACTCAATTCAATTCAATCCAGCAAACCATTTTTGAGTGTTTATGGTATGTAAAGCCTGCAACTTGGCATGTATTTCGGCACTTAGACCTATTGAAATATACCATAGATCTATCACAAACATTTACAATACTAATTATTTGGTTATATATCTTATAATCACCATTAAATTATTAATTGTCTTAATCTCTCTGTGTCTATTCCTCATAGTTATAATTATACTCTTCTCATTAAGAAAATTTATTCTATTTTCTCCCTACCCTCAAGTGTTATACTACCAGTTCCCTTCCCTTCACAGTTAAGTATGTGAAACAATCACTATCCCATAAAACAGATTTCACCAATGTCCGTAGTAATGCCAAATCCCATGGAATTTTTTTCGTTCTATTATTTCTCTCTGTGGCACTTGATACAATTGACCACTCCCTTCTCTATGACCACTTTCTCTTGGTACTCTTTCTTCTCCTTTGTTTTGTTCATATTAGTTTCCTTTGCTGGTTCTTCTTCTATTTACCCATTCAAGGTTGAAGATCCCCAGGCTCTATCTTTGACCTTACGATTTCAGCTGATACATATTTATTACAGGCTCTGAGGCCTAAAACTTAATGACAGATTGCTCTCTTGGACTGCAGGCCTATATATCCATCCACCTATTAGACATATTACTTGCATATCCTTCCCACGGGCATGTCAAACTCAACACGTCCATGGAACTCGTCATTTTCTCTGTCTCCCAAGTACCAGCCATTATCATATATCTTAGTAAGTGTGCCATCTATCCAGAAGGCCATCTAATTTATCACCAGGTTCTCCTTTATATCTCTAGAATCCATTCCCTCTTCAGTATCCCTAGTGCTACTGTCTTAGTTGGATTCTGATCATTTCCTACCAGAACTATTATAAGAACGCTCTCCTTTCGGATTTTTTTTTCTTTCTTAACCACACTCTTGTCCCACCTGTTATCCATCCTGAATGCTGATGGCTTTTTTTTTTCCTAAAAATGCAAGTGTGACTACATTACTCCCCTGCTTTAAACCCATTGATTGTTCTCTGTTTCCTATATGATAAAATTTAAATGCTCTTTAAAGCCAAATAATATCTGACCTCTGCCTATATATCTGGCCAGGCTTCTAAATATACTCTGCCTCACATACTATAAGCCAGTGTGAGCCCCTTAATCCCTTTAGCCAGATGTTCTCAAGTCTCTGTTTTCACTTAATACTATTCTTATTCTTCCAGCTGTAGGAAATGTCTTTGTCTTTCCTAACTATCTGGTGAATACCTACTCACCTTTCAGGTCTCTAAGGATTATGCCACCTATAAAATTTTCCATATCCTGCACTCTAAATACAGTTGACCACTTTCTTCTTTAAGTACTTCCTCTAGTACTTAATAACTCTTGATTGTAATTATTTACCTTAAAGTATTCTTCTTACAAATCTTCCCTGAGAAGGACATTATGTTAGGCAATTTGTATCTTTAGCACCTGACACAGTACCTGGCATACAGCAGATGCCTAACAGATGTTTACTGAAATAACAAACATTTTATTGAGTGGTATTGTGCTAGGTATCAAGAACACAAATATAAACAAGAAATTATTTTATTTTTATAAGTCAGCAGGTTTCAGCCCTCCCCAACTTATGTAAAAAGTGGGACTCACAAGTGTGATGTATTGTCCTGGGCATCCCTTCCCTGAACAAACATATCATTATAAAGGAAGAGAAGACGTGAACCCCAGAACAAACATACATTAACCTATGCATTCAACACAATCACAAATTTCCGACATTATTATGTCAATATAACTAGAACAAATAACCTAAAATCTATAAGGAAAAACTAAAAGAAAAATAACCAATAACATCTTGAAGTTCAAGGAGAGAGAATTTACCTTATGAAATATCAAGATATACTACAAATTGTATACTTAAAATAATTCACAAATTTTGGCATCTTAAATGTTAGTAATTTCAAATTACTTGGACCATCACTACATTGTTATTTTCTAGTATGTTGAAGGTTATTAATCAGGGGGAATGTGCAGAGCAAGAAAGAGAATTCAGATGGACCCTTGTGTAAAACTAACATTTAAGAGAAAGAAAAAGAAATTAAATGCTTAAAAGTAAAAAAAACAAAAATGAAGTCATAGACTTCTCACAAACATACTATTGAGCAAAAATATATATATAATAGAATTTCTTTTATAAAGCTTTAAAAATAGAAGAACTAAAATATATTGCTCAGAGATACATACACAGGAAAGATCAGTACAAAAGTCAGAATACTTGTTACCTCTGGCATAAAGGTGAATAGGACCTGTGACTGAGAAGAGGCACATGAGGAGCTTCTGGGGTGTTAGAAATGTTCTGTTTCTTCATACAAGTTTTTGCTTCAATAATACTTAAAATTTATACATAAGCTTTCTGTACTTTTCCGCATGTATGTTTCATTTCAAAATGGGAGATTAGACACCTGCTTTTTATCTCTATTGTCTCTGGAAATTGTCTTCTTAATGCCAAGTTAGGAAACAATTTCTTAAAGAACACTAACCATAAAAGAAATGATTAATAAGTTTTATTACATTTAAGTCAGGAACTTCTCTTCATTATAAGTGTTGGGGGGCCACAAGGCATAAAAATATATTTCTAACACAAATAACTGATAAAAGACTAATAAACAAGATATAAAAAGAAATCCTACAAATCCTAAGAAAAAGATAAAAACCCAATGGGAACATAAACAAAAATTTAAATGGCACTTAATAAAAAAGAAAATACAAATTGCAAATAAATGTAGGAAAAGGTGCTCAACTCCACTAGTTCTCAGGGAAACAGAAGTTCAAACCATAATGAGATATCTCTATACTCCCATCATCTTGGCAAAAATTGAAATGGTTGACAATTCTATGTCTTGGTGTGGTGCAGACCAGTTTCTCATATAATACCAGTAGTATTATACAAAACTACTTTGAAACTGTATAGCATTCTTTATTGAAATTGAAAATAGCATTCTTTATAACCCAGCAACTTCCTTGAATCCTAGAGAACTGCATGAAGATGTATAAAAATATAAGAGACATGTATAAGAATCTCTACAGCTGCACTGCTTATAAAGACAAAGTGCTGGAAACAACCCCAAAAATCCATTAACAAAATTTATAAGGAGATATTCACACGTGGGATATACATAACAAGAATGAACAAAGCAGAGACATGCATAACAATATAGATGAATCTCACAAACATACTATTGAGCAAAAATATATATATAATAGAATTTCTTTTATAAAGCTTTAAAAATAGAAGAACTAAAATATATTGCTCAGAGATACATACACAGGAAAGATCAGTACAAAAGTCAGAATACTTGTTACCTCTGGCATAAAGGTGAATAGGACCTGTGACTGAGAAGAGGCACATGAGGAGCTTCTGGGGTGTTAGAAATGTTCTGTTTCTTCATACAAGTTTTTGCTTCAATAATACTTAAAATTTATACATAAGCTTTCTGTACTTTTCCGCATGTATGTTTCATTTCAAAATTTAAAAAATTAAAGAAACCAAAGAGGGAGAGTTTCAAGAAGGGGACAGTTACTAGTTTATGTGCTATAAAGGAGTCAAACAAGATTAAGACTAAAAATCAGCCATTACAGTTGGAAATTAATATTTATCTGTTACCTTCGTAAAAGTAATTTCAGTGAATTAGGAAATGAGTAAAATTGAGGAAGTTTAGGCAATAAATATTTCCTAGACTTGAAAATAAAGGCTTTACAGAAGGCGGTACTTGAACTAAATCTCAAGATTGCAAAGGTTTCTAATAATTACTGATTAAGATAACCATTCCCCAGATGGACAAAGATAAGGGGCACCAGGCACCTTAGGGCAAGTCCAGAGGGCCTGGCTGGGTATAGTGAATATTGTCTTTGTTTATGAAATGTAGATTTGATGGGCATGTGCCAAAAGTAACATCCTAAAAAGTTGCCAAGTCAAGGCTAAAATAAACCATCTGAAACCACATCCAAGCATAATCAGATAAAAGGATGCCAAGACACACAGCTGAACTGATGTCTTGAGGACATTAAATGCAAGGAAGACCAAACTGAAGGAGTTTCCTGAGGCAGAATCTTGCAAGGCTGGTTAAAATATCAAAATTCACTTGGGTAAATAACTATGATTGAATTGTTGGATCACATGGTAAGCTTATGTTTACCTATATGAGAAACTGCCAGACTGTCTTCCAAAGTGGCATTTGCATCCCAACCAGCAATGAATGAAAGTTCCTGGTGCTCCACATTCTTGCCAACATTTGATGTTGTCAGCATTTTGGATTTTAGCTATTCTAATGGGTGTGTAGTGATATCTCACTTTTAATTTGCAATTCCCTAATGACATACAATATTGAGCATCTTTTCATATGCTTATTTACTATCTGTATTTCTTCTTTGGTGAGGTGTCTGTTCAGATTTTTTTCCTAATTTGTAATTGGATTTTTGTTTTCTTATTGTTGAGTTTTAAGGGTTCTTTTTATATTTTGGATATAAGTCCTTTATCGGATATGTCTTTTGCAAAAATTTTCTCTTTAGCTTATCTTTTCATTCTTGTAACAGTCTTTCATAGAGTATATGTTTAAATTTTAACGAAGTTCGGGCGCCTGGGTGGCTCAGATGGTTAAGCGTCTGCCTTCGGCTCAGGTCATGATCCCAGGGTCCTGGGATCGAGTCCCGCATCGGGCTCCCTGCTCCTTGGGAGCCTGCTTCTCTCTCTCTCTCTCTCTCCCTCTGCCTCTCATGAATAAAAATAAAATAAAATAAAATAAAATAAAAAAATTTTAACGAAGTTCAATTTATCAATTTTTCTGTCATGAATTGTGTTTTTGTGCTGTATCTAAAAAGTCATCATCAAACTCAAGGTCACCTAGATTTTCTC